CCTCAAAACCCCAAAACCCCAAAACCCCAAAACCCCAAAGTAGGTGAGGGTAATTGAAAAATTTGTACCATGATTTATAAGTGTTTTATAGGTAGGGTAGTGATTACAGTCGTATTGAGTATTGAACTAGAGACATTGTAAATCCTTTGGTTTCTAATCTAAGAAATATCTTCCTTACTTTAAGCCTCTCCATAATTGCATGATTTCATAATTTAAGATTCGTCATGCGAAGAACAACCTGAAGACAGGGAGTTCTCATTCTTAGTCAAGCTAGATACTAAAATTGGTCTAAACCTATAAAATTTGGTTAGAAAAGTTAATAAAACCGACTTACAAGTTACTACTGGTGCTGATGTTAGACTTCCTTTCTCTGAACCTGCTTAGGAATATTCCTACAGATTTGTTATGAGTCAGGCTCATTGCTCTTCTACTTTTATTAAGGACTCTTTCGTATGATCCGAGTTCATTGCTCTCAATAATTTCGATTTGCTTTGTATTTGATTTGTTTGGGCCTATTTATGAATAAATTTAAACTAAGAGTAGCAATATCAAGGCTTCTAGGGATTCTGAGTAAGCTGAAAGAAAATAAATTAGTCATTATATATTCCGCCGAAGTTAGTGCTAGATAATAAAAATGTGTATACTCCTTCAGAAGTGTAAAAACCTCCTTTTGAAACGCCTCGTCAGGATTTGGAGCAAAATGTTAGAAAATTGGCTTTAGAAATAACACTCTGAAAATTTTGTTGCTGTCTGAGGGTATATATAGTTTGAACAGCCAAGGTCTTGGAGATTTGGTGAATAACTTACGATTTTTAGGATCAATTTCTCATATCTCAAGGCATGGTGGTAGTGCAAATATATCATTTCAATTTTCACTGTTTGTTGTAGAAGCCGGAGTCGCTTTAGAAAATCTGCTCGTCCGTCCATTTGAGTCTCAATCAGGGCTGAATACAAGGTACTCCTTTAGATGATCTGGAAGATACTTCCGCTTTTTAGAACCAACGGAATTCTTTGAATACTGGTTCTTTGATCATCATACTAACTATTTAAAGGGTCAGATCTTATTCATGACAAAATAAGAATACTTACCCTTTTAAAAAAACCTAGAAGACTATTTTTCCTAGAATCTTTACGACCGTCTTCAGAGTCTTGGACGCTTATACTACTTTTCTTATCTCTTTTCCTCCCTATTCCAAACTTTATACCCCTCTAAAATCACCAAAATCCCAATCACTCCCTAAATCTCTCCCAAACTCCCCATTCCCCTCCTTACCAATACGCTCCCCAACCTCCTCATTCTCCAGCTGCTTCGAAAACTCCACACTTGTAAACTCATCATAATTTGCCATTGTTTTATAAATATATTTCATTTTGATAGTAACTTTTTGGGGTTTTGGGGTTTTGGGGTTTTGGGGTTTTGGGGTTTTGGGG